TATTTTCGTTAAATATGCGATTGGTATATATTATTACAATATGAATGATGTTTAATAGTATTTATATTTCTGGTAGTTTGAACAATATACTACGATTTAGTTATAACTTACAACTGCCGTCACTTGTAAATATAATATGTTATAAAGAAAGGCGCGAAAATTGTGAGTTTTATCAGTTTTACGATGATATTGAGCGATAGGTTAATATTATTATATCAGTAGTTTATTATTTTTTTTTAATATTTTGGACTAAACTGAAAACTGAATAAGAAAAATTAAACTCTATTATTTCTATGTATACTACTTACTTACTTACTTAGTTGGCCATTACAGACGTGTGTCGTCCTTGGCCGCGTCGAGTAGCCTTCGCCAGTCAGCCCGATTAGTTGCTTTCTGACGCCAGTTGGTAGTACCGAACGCCCCCAAATCGTTGGTCACCTGGTCCTTCCACCGAAGATGCGGACATCCTCTACCGCGTTTTCCACCTGTGGGTACTGAATCAAATACCTTTCTAGCCGGACCACTTTTTTCCATTCGCACGACATGACCAAGCCAGCGTAGCCGCTGAATTTTTATGCGTTTAACTATGTCAATGTCGCGGTATAGCTCATACAGCTCATCGTTCCATCTTATTCGATACTCGTCGCCAACGCGTAAGGGACCATAGATCTTCCGAAGAATTTTTCTCTCGAATGCTCCTAACGCCCTCTCATCACTGTTGGTAATTGTCCAAGCTTCTGCACCATACAGAAGGACAGGCATGGTAAGGGACTTGTAGAGCGTGATTTTTGTTTGTCGAGAGAGGGCTTTATTTCTCAATTGCTTACTTAGCCCGAATTAACATTTGTTGGCAAAAGTAATTCTTCGTTGAATCTCTAGGCTGACGTCATTTATGGTGTTTAAGCTGGTTCCTAAATAAACAAAGTCTTTCACAACTTCGAACTTATAATTGTCAACAGTGACGTAGGTCCCAAGACGCTCTGGGGATTTGTTTGTTGACAGAAAGTACTTTGTTTTGTCCTCATTTACCACAAGACCCATTTGCTTTGCCTGTTTTTCTAAGTTAGAAAATGCCGCACTGACGACGCGGGTGTTTAGACCAATGATATCAATATCGTCGGCATACGCAAGCAGCATCACACTTTTGTAGAATATTGTGCCAGTACGGTTTAAATCTGCTGCTCGAATTATCGTTTCCAACATTAGTTTAAAGTAGTCACACGACAAGGAGTCACCCTGTCTGAAACCTCGTTTGGTATCAAACGGCTCGGAGAGGTTCTTTCCAATTCTAATGGAGCTGGTGGTGTTGCTCATCGTTTTACGTAGCCGTATAAGTTTTGCTGGGATACCAAATTCAGACATAGCGGCATAGAGTGTGCTTCTAGTGGTAGTGTCAAAAGTAGCTTTGAAGTCGACAAATAGGTGGTGAGTGTCGATTTGTTTTTCTTGAGTCTTCTCCAGGATTTGACGCACTGTGAATATCTGGTCTAGAGTGGATTTGCCAGGTCTGAAGCCACACTGATAAGGTCCAATCAATTGGTTGACGAGTGGCTTCAATCTTTCACATAGTACGTTTGACAGAACCTTATATGCGATATTTAAAAGACTGACCCCGCGGTAGTTGGCACAGTTTGCAGGATCACCTTTTTTGTGGATTGGGCAAAGCACACTTAAATTCCATTCGTTGGGGATGCATTCATCCGACCAAATGTTGCGAATTAGCAACATCCGATCGGCGCCTGCAGCATTGTTGTTTTTGAGCCGCGTTATAGCTGTTTTAACTTCATTATGATCGGGAGGCGAGACGATTATTTCATCGTCAACGATTGAAAATTCGAAATCATCTTCGCTTTCAGTCACATTGCTACTACCGCCATTTAGTAGTTTCGAGAAGTGATCCCTCCATATATTAAGCATGCTTTGGACATCTATCACCAGATTACCGTTTTTATCTTTGCAGGAATTAGCTCCGGGTTTATAACCATTTGTCAGGCTTTTAATTTTTTGATAGAATTTTCGAGCCATATTCCTGTCGCCCAGCTTCTCAAGCTCTTCGTACTCACGTCTTTCTGTTTCCTTCTTTTTTCGCCTGAAAAGACGTTTTTCTTCCCTTCTCTTTTGCCGATATCGCTCTTTAACAGCGCTCGTCACAACTGACCACAGAGTGGCTTGATATGGTGCGTCTTTCTCTGCGGTAGCATTGCGACACTCTTGGTCGTACCAGCTGTTTCTTTGTATACGGTGATAGCCGATCACCTCTTCTGCAGCGGTACGCATAGAGTTGGAGATGTGGTTCCATTGTGCGCATATATCGGCTTCTTCAGATGAATTTTCCAGATATTGGGAGAGTCGAGTAGCGAAGTCATTAGCTGTCTGTTGTGATTGCAGCTTTTCGACGTCTAGCTTTCGCTGTGCTTGTTCACGTACCTTTTTCATCGCACATAAACGTGTGCGGATCTTGGCTGCAACAAGGTAATGATCCGAGTCGATGTTGGCTCCTCGGATAGTACGTACATCCAAGACACTGGAAGTATGCCTTCCGTCTATCACGACGTGATCAATTTGAGATCTTGTGTTTTGATCAGGTTACAGCCATGTTGCCTTATGTATGTTGAGATGCTGGAATCTGGTGCTACTAACCACCATGTTTCTAGCCGCGGCGAAATCAATCAGCCTTCTTCCATTATCAGAAGTTTTCGTGTGAAGGCTGAACTTTCCGACAGTAGCACCAAAGATACCTTCTTTACTCACCTTTGCGTTGAAGTCTCCAACAACGATTTTGATGTCATGATGGGGACAGCGTTGATATGCTTGTTCAAGCTGTTCATAGAAAATTTCCTTGGTGTCGTCATCTTTATCTTCCGTCGGGGCATGCGCACATATTAGCGTGATGAAGAAAAATTTTGCCTTAATTCGGATTTTTGCGAGCCTTTCGTTTATTGGTATAAACGTTGAGACCAAATTTCTCAGCTTTCGGCTTACCGCTAATCCAACTCCAAACTCGTGCTTTGTTGCATGGCAGCTGTAGTAAATGTCACAATGTTCTCGTTTAGAGCATCCTTGCCCCGTCCATCGCATTTCCTGGAGAGCGGTAATGTCAGCCTTATATTCCTTGAGGACATTAACCAGCTGTATAGATGCACCTTCTTTGTAAAGAGTTCGGACATTCCATGTGCATATTTTTAAATCGTGTTCCTTAATACGTTTGCGTTTGTCGTCATCAGTAGATCGTTTCCTTATCCGAGGCTGCCTCTTCGTTTGCATTGGAAGAATTTTTTAAATGGTGGGTTCCAAGCCCGACGCATAACCTCATATATCCCTGAGGTAGATTTCGCTGCACACATTAGTTCACTACGCACGGATGCTATCCAGAGGGGCCACTTGGAGACAGTGTCAACTTGGAGAGAACAGTGACAAGGATCGCGCTTGCATTTACCATGTTAAATGCAATCAGACACTTTACCTTGTATGTTCAATCCCATTCCCCCTTCTATGTATATTAGTAATTGTAATTATTTTTTAAAAAATGAACGATTTAATCAGTTTTGCCATTTTCTGGAGGCGATGCGCGAATTATATGTTTAATTAAAACACATGTTTTTCTTTTTATTTAAAACATTTAGTAGTTTAATATTTTTTAAGACATGGTTTTACAGAGTGAATTTTAAGACTCACTTATAACTAACAACTTTGCTTATATTTATAGTGAGGATTCGAAGTATCGAATCCTGATAAAACAATTCGTTGTTTGGTTAGGCCGAACAACGATTATAATATTTTTAGTTAGAATGTTTATTTAGAGATTGTAAAGTATAATACAGTACGTAATTATAATATAATACAATGAGAACATTTCATTGTTTGGTTAGGCTGAACAGCGATAACAATATTTTTAGTTACAATGTTTAGTTAAAGATAATAGAATATAATAAAATATAATGTAGATCTTTCGTTGTTTGATTAGGTCGAACAACGATAATAAAATGTTTAGTAGGATGCAATTTAGATATTTCGTTGTTTGATTAGGTCAAACAACGATAATAAAATATTTAGTATAGGGATAAGATAAGAGAATGTAACTCTTCTACCCCTTGATTCGAGATGCTCCTGGATCTTGTTATTATAAATGTATGTGAGAAGTAAGGAAAGACAAAAAAAAACAAAAGAAAAACAAATTATACAATTCCATATTTTCTTTTAATTTGGTTTAGTTCGATTTCATCGATCTTATTGTCTTAAATATTATTTACAATTTTTATTTGGTCTTTTTTTACATAAAGATATAACACAATTATAATGATTGATACAATTATTATACCAAATGTAATACTAATTCCAAAGAATACTTTTTTGTGAAAATATAATTCTTTTATTTCTTTTATTTTTTTAAATTTTTCTAAATGAATATTTTTAAATTCTGGTATTTCTTGCATTAATGAGTTATCCAATTGTAATTGATATCTTTCAAAGAATTCATTTTTTGGTTATTATATTCAATGTTTGAAATTTTTTATTTGACAGTTTACAAAATTAATTAAATTATTTTTATTTAAAACTGCTTTCCTTTTTTTACAATTTTGGGATAGGCTTAAATTTATAGCATTTTTTATTAATATAGAATCATCTTCAATAGGAATAACTTCTGTTACATTGTTTATTTTATATTGGCATGAATTAGAAAATATACAACTCTTACTTAATTCGAGTTCCTTGAGCAAGATATTTTCTTTATAATTATAATATTTTCCGCTAATGTTTACTACTAATTCGTTTTTTTCTACAATTTCTAAATTATTTTTGTTTGGTAATGGAATTATAGATAATGCTTGCCGAGAGATAGAGAGTGTACCACTGTTGCACACGCCTTAAGTGAAATTTTCAAACGAGATCTTCAAGCTAAAATTGCGTTTGTAGTTGAAAGACTCGTGCGCCACATCACTCCCTCTCCAGTGACCGAGCGAAGCAATGTCACGATATAATTAGTGATCCTATGCCACTGATTAAACATTCTCCGCAAATCGAACTGGCAACCGAATTCGCCTGCCGCTAGACGATGTTTGAGTTCTTTTTGTATGTTGCTTCTGGTTATTTTCGTCTGCTTTTTGATCAGTACAAGCATGTCGTGCTATCTGATGTTGATTTGTTTCTTGCTCGTCATCACAGAGATAGGCAGCTTTGACCCGATCTATACTTACACGTACTGGTTTGTCTTTCCGTAGAATGTTCATAAGCTTATCGTCGCGATCGGTTACCTTAAATGGTCCATCGTAAGTTGCTTTGAGAGGTGGTCGAACAGTGTCATCACGCAGATTAACATGAGTACATTTTTTAAGATCTGGTTGTACAAATGTTTTTGATATGGAGTGGTTTGCCGTAGGTACTGGTCTTAGTTGCTCCATCACGTCTCGTAGTAATTGTACGAATTCCGCAAAATTGTTGACCTTTAAGCTAACGATAAAGAATTTACAAAGTCACATTCATCTAAACAAGGATACTGCGTTTTGATGTTACCGAAAGCGCGCGCGAAAAGTGTTCACTCCGTAACTATTGTCTTTTTTGATTAGAAATAGTTAAATTTAAATTTCAAATTTATGATCATTTGAACGATAGACCATAAATAAAACGAATCTGTGAAAAAACAGTGCTAGTGGACGGTGTTAATCAGTCTTTTGTAAATATAAAAAATTTTTGTTAAACAAATTAAAATTTAAATTTGCAAAAAATAACAAAACCAAAACAAAATTGAGTTTTGGTCAAAACAGCTGATAGAGACAGCATATGATCGAAAGCAAAGAATACTTGTACAAGAACGGCAACTTAAATGTAAACAAAAAAAAATCAACCAATCCCAGTAGAAAACGGATCGATCCGTCATCGAAGACGTCTTCAAGACATGGATACATACATGAAGACCGATCGATCCAAATGTATGACGGTCTTCGAAGACACTTTCATACAAATTAGCCAAATGTCTTCAATGAATTTTTGCGTACATGTCTCGAAGACCGTCTCGAAGACCATGTCTTGCATAACGGACGCATTCGACAGAAAGTTGTGCGCTCTTAGTGCAGTGCTCATATAATTTTTTCACCCTTTTTTTTATTTCTACTCTTTTATTGCGCTCTTTAAATTTTAAACGAATTTCAATTTTCTCTTTAAATAAGTAGAAAGAAATTGTTGTATTTTGTACTTTTATTTATTTTATATAATAATTTCTTAAATTACATTCAAAATTAAAAGTTTTAAAAATAAATTATAAATTTTATTATAAATTATTATAAATTTTATTAAGATATTAATAATAAACTAGTAAAAACTAGTAAACATAATGAAAATTAATTTAAATAATTAACTTAATATAACTTAGCATATCTAAAATTAACTAAAACTAATATAAAATAATTTATAGCATTTCGCTATCATCAATTGTTGAAGTTTTATATGTTTTCAAAAGCGTTGAAAAGGATTTTGGTACAATTAAACCTTCTGATCTTAAGAGTTCTAAAATATCATTACTACAACGCCTGTTAATCCTGTGTTTTTTAAATATAACAGCTAATTTTTCACAAGTGTTTTCAGTTTTTTTATTTTCAACATCCTTTGTTTCGTTTCTAAAACAACTTTCACTGGAATTATTGTCTTCAATATTAATATCAATATATTTTCCAGGAACTAAGTCACTATTTAATTTGTTTTGATTTAATTTCTTTTTTTTTAATATTTCGTAGTTTAATGATTTTGTTTCTTTATTTATTTTGATTTTTTTAATATTTATTTCACTACACTTCAAAATTATTGCGTCAATTCATTTATAAAACATAGCGTCATCTGAGGCAAAATTCAAATACGTTGCTATGAACACTAAAAATGAGAGAGAAAGCAAAGAAAGAGTATTTACATTCATGTTTTGAGCAATTGTTTTGCAAATTTGCTTGAAAATGCGGACGCGGTATCAAAGACCGTCTTGAAGACAATGTCTTCGAAGACCACTTTTTCTACTGG